AACAAATAATTACAGCTAATATTTGAAAACACTTCAACTATTAATAACTCAAAAGTAGGAGAATAAGATAATAAATCATCCCGAACAACATAATTTAAATGACTTTTAATAAATAAACCAACACCACCACCTAGGTTACCTATACGATTTTTAGATACAAAATTAAAATTAGGCAAATTAATTAAATTAGCGGTCTGATCACATAATCAAGTTTCACTCACAGCTACCAAATCCAAATTACCACCACAATAATCAAGCAAAACATTCAACTCAGTCATTTTGTTAAACATACTTCGAATGTTAATGTGAAAAACAGAAAAAGAATTCGGATTAATAAATGCATAAACCTTATCCGGAGGTAAAAAAGAACACACATTATTTAAATCTTTCAACAAATTACTATCAGGATCAACATCATCAAGCCGACCAGGTTTAACTTCATTATTGTCAGGCGCCATCTATCAGATGAAGATAAATTGGCTATTGTTCATCAATTTTCATATTGAGATAAAGTTTGTTAGAAACATCATTCTTCATGTTTGTTGTTGTTTTTGTCATCGGTTTTTATTGGGTTGAACCTCCATTCTTTGATGATGATATGTTGCAAAATAACGTCCGGATTTTTCATCTTAGCAGCATCGCTACTTTCAACGCATACCCTGAACATCGTAGACTCGCAATCGTCGTTGTTTGGACTTTCATTGGCGGGAGAATCTGTGCGTTTCAGTACTGGAAAACATGAAATGACATTTATATCAATGGATTTTAAATATTCCATAACATCGTTTCTGTGGCACTTTTGAACATTGCTCATTGAAAAAAATGATTTTTTTATGAGCATTTTATTAGCTTTAATTTTGCATAATTCGTCATTTTTCTTGTTACCAATTATTTTTCTAACTGGTTTTTCCATCATATTCTCATTTTATGATGCTTCAACTATTGACGTTACTTCGTTCAACCATCTCTGGAGTGATGTTTAATCTTGGTCGTTTTTTTGACTGAACAACTGTGAATGGTTGGTCAATATTTTCAGTTGGAGTTCTCACAACATCTGCCGTTGTTGTCGTCGCAGTTGTTGCTGCTGAAATTGTTGTTGTTGTTAACTCTGTTGTCAATAAAATGCTTTTGTTTAGTTTGCTTAGTTGGAGGGACAATTTCCAGCGTATGATATTCAGGTGCGCTGGTCGGTTTGCTGGCAAGATAGTTTACATTCATATTTTCTAATAGTTTTGCTATGTACAACTCTTGCTTGTACAATATTTCTTTAATTTCCAATTTAATTTTATTGAAATTTACATTTAATATATTTTCTATACTGGGAATTTTAGAAAAATTAACACTTACATAGGTTGGTAGAGATTCCAATAAATTGATTTTGTTTAATTACAAGATAATTGTAACAATATCAAGCATTTTGTCCTCTTTTTTATTGCTTTTCGCAGAATTTTTTTCCATGTTTGCAAACTTTTCATTTTTAACAAATTCTAAGTCATTTTTTAAAGTTTTTAATGCAGTAGTAATATCGTCAGAAGTGTAAAAATCAACAACATTTGAAATAAACACGTCATTTTGAAGTAAATTTAAGTTATTTATCAAAAAATATAAAACCTCATTCACCGACAAATTACCTTTAGACGCCATTTTTCCAGCATGTATGTATGTGTGGGTGTGTGTGTGTGTGTGTGTGTGTGTATGTATGTATGTATGTATGTATGTATGTATGTATGTATGTATAATAATAATATCAATAATTTATATAGCACTAATTAGATAAAATTCAAAAGCGCTCTCACACATTAAACATATCAAAAATCAATAGTTAAAGGATAATACATAATAATAAGCAAAATCAAATACCCAAGACGAAACACAAAAAACAGAGACAATTGATATAAGGTGATAAACAAATATCAAAAATAAAAAATCAACTGTCATGATAATCAAACCATTTTGAAATCCAGTGAAGAAAAAAGACACATATATAAATCAGCTATTATGGAAAAGACTCTTAACACACACACACACACACACACACACACACACACACACACACACACACACACACACACACACACACACACACACACACACATATATATATATATCATAACAAGAGTTTATGTAACGCCAGTTAAATAAAATTCAAAAGCGAACTCAACGTTAAACACAACATGAAATATGGATAAATCAATAATCCGATGGTAGATGATAATACATAATAATACGTAAAGTCAGAAATGAAAAACAATAAATAGAAACAACCGATATATAAGATGACTATCTAATAAAAAAACAAGCATCAATTGGCAAGACAATAAAACCGTTTTTAAATCAAAAGAAATTAAATATATACACGCACACACACAAACCCACCCACACACACACACACACACACACATACATACATCATCTCTCATAAGAAAACAAAAATGTTTTAAGTTCTTTTTTAAAGCGAGTAATGGACAATCCTGGATCTCTGAGATGGACGGGAAGGCTGTTCCAGACAGTTGGTCCAGAAACCGCAATACTACGTGAACCAATACATAGATTGGCAGTCGGAACTTTTAACAGATTCGCAGAAAACGATCTTAGACCAGACCCATAAGAATCTACTGAGTACCTTTTAAATTTATCCTGTAAGTATGCTGGTGTCAGGCCATTCATTGATTTATGCAACAAGACTGATATCTTGTAGATTATTCTTTTATCAACTGTCAACCAATGCAAACTTTTGATTATGGGCGTCACGTGATCATACCGTAAACCACCAACCACTACTTTTGCCATACGATTCTGTAGAGACTGCAATATCGCAGTAGACCTCAGGGGTAATCCATAAAACAAACTATTACAGTAATCAATTCGCGAATGGACAAATGCATGAGCCAAAGTCTGCAGTGTGGAAACGTCCAATGAATTGCGAATTTGGTTAATCCTTCTAATCTGTAGCATACAATCTCTAGAGAGCATTTTGAAGTGCTGTTTCATCGACAAGTTTGAATCAAATATGACACCCAAATTCTTTGCCTTATCACAGAATGGAATTACCACGTCATTGACAAAAATTGAATCAGCATCTAATCGCTCGGCCAAGGTCCCAGGAATCGTAACATCCCAAGCCAAACATTTACCGGCTCTCCAGGAAGTAAGAGTACAACCGTCTGGTCGCTTGCCATCTTGCACTGAAATGCCAGATGGTTCCTTCAAAACAGGAATAGAAGCTTTAGAAAAAAGCCGGCACATGTAATCATTCAAAGCTGAATGACGAAGTTGACGGCCTCCCCCTAAACGGCAAACCAAACCATGATGACCAAATTCGTCCGCCTCCGCGTCGCAACGACACAGATATATATTTTGTACACTTAGGCCAAGTCTGAAACCAACGGCAAATCTAACAGACTTGTCATCGAGTCTGGTGCCTACGGAAGTGTTGGGCCACGACCTCAACCAACCACAACTAACATCACTAGTTGCAGCCAATAAGCGGGCGGAGGAAGAAGCACCGACACCAGAAGACAGAAATTCATGAAAAGTCTTCTTATATTGCTCATCTAAAATTTGAGCTTGTGAAGGGCTTTCAGGTGTGGTCGGCAGTGGTGGGATGTCGCAGCAACAACAAAATCGGCAAAGCAAGGCGGACTGGAGGTCAAGGGTGGCAGCGGCAGAAGATTTATAGACGATTGGTGCCAATTGAACCACACTGAGTAACCCCAGACCACCATACCGCACCGGCAGCTGAGCCTGGGACCAGCCACTGTCAGTCAAATGAACATTGCAAATGGCTGACAAGGCGGTACGCAAAACATCATCAAATCTGCCCAACAACGATGGGTTAATGTAGCTGGATGTACGAAGAAAATACATCATTTTGGGCAAACTGAGGGCGCTTCGGACAATAGTCAGGGCGTCGTGGACGGAAAGATGAGACACTCGGTCGAGGGCGAACTTAAGTTCTGAATACTTTTTATCAAAAAATTTAATTTGGGAGTCGCCCTCGAACAAGGGTGTGCCCAAAAAACTTAAATTTTATTTTTGAACAATGGGTACGTCCGCCAACACCGGTGGCAAATGTAGTGAATCTTTAAAATAGAGTTCACATTTATTGGTGTTTAACTCTAGCCCAATGGTGTTGGCTTCGTTTTTCAAAAATTCGTAGTTTTCGGCCAGTGTTTGGCTTTTTGAAGCAATGCTGATGTCATCCAGGTAGCCACAAATGAAAACGGACGACAGTTTTTCCAACAAGGGATGCAGGGTCAATGCAAATAGAAGAGCTCCTAGTAAATCACCCTGTTGCACGCCCTCGGACGATTCAACCACCCAGGTGTGATAGCCGAGCGAAGAAGCGAGGCCGTAAGCAGAATGGCAGAAATTATATATTCTGGGGCAGAAACATTTGACGGTCTCCAGCATTGAATCTCTTCTCATGGCGTTGAAGGCATATTTAAAATCGATTTTTAGAAATCCCCATTGATTAGGGAGGTCTGTGACCAATTTTCGAACGGCGTGAACGGCGGCCTCAGCACCTCCTTTCACGCCAACGCCCAATTGAACCGGGTAAAATTTGGCTCTCATTTCATCCATTACCAGGTTCAAAGCACATTTGCTCGCCAATCTACGCCAACAGTTGCCAACAGCGATTGGCCTAACTCCTCCATCTTTTTTGTTCAAGGCTATCAGGCGGCCTCCAAAAAAAAAAACGGCAAACCGTGGGTGGACAGGCGCCCGACAGAACCAAATTTATAAATTTCGTTAGGGAAATTAATAAGTCGTCAATTGGCAGGGGGCCGGAAAGTAGGTCTTTGAGATGCTGAGGACGCAAACCGTCGTGACTCCTGGACGAGCCATTTCCAAAAGACTTTATGGCCTTGAGCACCTGGGCGGAAGAAACGCAACCACTTGTTGGTTCCTGCGCAGGAAAAGCACGCCTGTCAGTTGGTGTTTTTGGATGTATGAACCGTAGTTTTTCTAAGGTTTCAGGCGTGTTTTCTGCCAGGCCCTCGGGCGAGCAGACAAGTCTGACGGCTGCTGAAACGTTTCCCTGCTCTATGCAAGAAGACACCGCATTTATCCACCGGTCGGGGTTGTGGCCGCGTGGATTTGCGTTGATGTGGTTTTCAAAACCCGAGAGCAGGGACGTTACCTCAATCGTGGAGTAATCGGACAGGCGTTTGTTAATCTGGTTGCCTTAGTTGACCCGGCGTCCCCCTTTGGCAGGTTTTTGAAGGACGTATGGAAAAAACAAAAAAAGTCTGCACCAGTGAGCGGGATCACCGGAGTCACAACAAACGGCCGTCAGTAACTCGTGCAGTGCATTGCTACATTTTTCTCTACACGGTTTTGGAATGTGATCGTGCAGTGGTACGCGTTTCAAAACAGCCGTCATCCTGTCAAAAAAAGGGGGTAATCCAAACTGGTAGGAATCTCCGAAACTGATACGGACGCACCCATTACGAGTCCATCGCTAGATGCGGCTACGTGAGGCGGACCGGTCACAACCTGTGGTGCATCCACCTTTTTCCTCGAACCCGAGCATTCCTGGCCTTTAACCCTTCCACCATGACGGCAAAGTTTCCCGTCTGGTGTGATCTTGTAGTGATTGGAGCAAACAGGGCACTGGTGTAAAACCGGGGCCGTACAGGTGATTTGGTGAGATAAGTAATTTTAACAAAACAAAAATTTAAATGAACTAATGTATGTATGTATGTATGTATGTTAAAACCAAATCATTGATGAATGACACCAAAAGCCAAGCGTCTGACTAAATTTGATTTTATTTGCTATAACGTCACTCAACCCCGTTGGCATTCAACTCCACATTTTCCAACACACAGACGCGCAAAAACCGCTGCAGAATGCACGAGATAAAAATGTATGTATGTTTTTGTTTTTTTTATTTCGAGGTAGGAAAATACATTTACGTATTCCCAGGCCACTGCCCTTGGATATGTCGGACTCGGAAAAAATGAAATCCCATACCGACTAAAAACCTCCTCGGCATCTGGCCCCTGTTTCCTGGTTGACCCGCCGTTAGGCATTACTACACGGGGAGAGGATCATATCTATTTGCTTTTCCTTCTGTTAATTTCTACCTTTAATGTATTTTTCTATTTTCCAACTTTGTTTGCTTCTATTTTCCAACTTTGTTTGCTCTTTGTCTTTCTATCGTACGTAGATTTTGGAGAACCTCAGACGAAAGTGAATCGATCGCATCCCAAGCACTTTTAGATGTGAGCATTGCTTTTACTATGTTTTCTGGCCGGAGTTTCTGTTTGAGAACAGTTTCCAGATTATTCCTAAGCCCATTGAAACGTGGGCATTCAAAAAATACATGTTCTGCATTTTCATTAATTTCCGGACAAGAAGGGCACTTCGACGAATCATCATGCCCAAAACGATAAAGATATGCTCGGAAGCATCCATGACCAGAGAGCATTTGTGCCAAGTAGGAATTTACCTCACCATGATTACGGTTCACCCAGATACTTATTTGAGGTATAGGTCGATATGTCCATAATAACAGCTGTTGATGAGTCTCACTGCATTTGCCATCATTGCACGCTATGTAGTCGTTCTTCCATTTTGAGTTTTTCTGTGCTCAGTGCCGTTGTTTTTTTTCGCTGGTATAAAACCTTTCTTTCTTCAGCGAGCTCTTTAATAGGCAACGTCCCAACGATGACACAAACCGCATTATCGGAAATTGTGCGGAAAGCACTGGTAATTTTCAAAGCATTTTTTCGATACGTCGATGTAAGTTTTTTCTGTGTATCTCCAATTCTAAGAGTATCAGACCAAATAGATATTCCATAAGTCAATACTGACATGACAACGGATGACAGTAATATTCTTCTATTCTGTTTTGGGCCTCCTACATTAGGCATTAATCGTGATAAGGCTGTTCCCACTCTGGTTGCTTTAATGCTAACATGTTCTACCTATTGTTTAAAACTCAGTCGAGTATCAATCATTGTCTTTAGATACCGAATAAATGGTTTGGATATTATTTCGTGATCCCCAACTGTCAGCTTAATAGTTTCTACTTGTTTCCTTCCGGTAACTAGTACGGCTTCAGTTTTATGTTTTGCTAACTCCAGGTTCACTGCATACATCCATTCACTGATCTTTGCAAAAGTGATATTAAACGCTAGCTCTATTTCCTCCAGATGTTTTGCAACAATAACCATAGCTACATCATCTGCATAAGCCACGAGACTGACTTCCAACGGCAGTTTCAATTTTAGTAGGTTACCAGTGGTGTTACAAACGTTGTATAAAAATAATTGGTACTTTATCTAAAGTGTCCAATTTTGTTTGTCCTGCTTGCATCAATCCACAACAACAAATTTGAAATAACCATTTAAGTTTTTGAAGCCATTAAAATAGAGAAAGTCACATCGTTTCAATATCTAGGGGATGTTCTGGATTGTACTGGAACAGCTGAAGCTGCCGTTCGAACACGCATACGTGCAGCCTGGAATAAATGGCATCTCCTTGCCTCTATATTGATGCGGCGTGACATCCCACTACCACTTCGATCAAGACTTTATAAATCTGTGATACGTCCGGTGTTGTTATATGGTGCAGAAACATGGCCAATGACAACCAAACTGGAACAACAACTTCAACGAACCGACATGAAAATGCTCCGATGGATGCAACGAATTAGTCTGAAGGACCACATCAAATCTACCGAAATCCTGCGTCGCGCTGGTTTAGACGATATAAAGGACGAATGCCGGCAACACCGTCTGCGGTGGTTTGGTCATGTCAAACGAAGTGGAAACAGTGCCATAACTTCTCTTGCAGATGTTGAAGTACCTGGCACACGTCCCAAAGGCCGTCCAAAGAATTCCTGGTCGCAAACAATCGAGCAAGACTTTAATGCTCTAAATTTAAATGAAATGGATACAACTGATCGTCTAATTTGGCGCAAAAAGTTTACGGCAAAGAAAACAACGTCCTACCTCGGGAAACCGGGTCTCTGAACGCAAAACGAAGATTGATTGATATATATTTTATTAAAATATAATATAGAAAAACGTATTTGACTATCATGCAAATTGACGACTAGGAGTTCGATCGTAAAAAGGTGAAAGGGAAGTTGCCTTGTTTTCTTGGCATTTATAGCCAATCGTCGCGTGCCTAAAATAGAGATGTGCGGTCCAGCGTAACCTGTTGATCGTTACTAATCAAGATATCGAGATGGAAGATAGTAGGGGTCTCGTGGCCGAGTGGTTAGCGTGTCCGTCTACTACTCCCACGATCCGGGTTTGAATCTTGCAGTTTTTGCAGGTTTATCCGCGTAGCCGACCCCCGGCCAACCCAGCCGTCCATTCTTTCGAGGCTGGTAAATGAGTAGACGACGTAAACTCAGCGTATATGATGCGGTGCTTGCGCATGCTCATAAATACAATGTGTACGTCGTGTGAAAAGAATAAACAGCCTTTGTGGCGAAGATGGATGCTTCAGAACATAATAAAGATATATAGATAATATATATGCAACATCATTGTAAGTGGTTCTGCGTATGTCAGAGCTGCAATAATAAAGACTAAAAAAAATGGGCTGTCCTCCCCAATCTTGTAGTTTTCTGAAGCAGTAGCATGCTGGTGTTGATGGATCGCACTGGGTGCGCTGGAGCCGATATTTCTGTTGCTGACGAGTTTTCGGATGATATTGAAGGTAGTGTTGACGTTTTTGTGAATGCTGATGTGCTGTTCAATGATGGAGTTGATTTTGTTCGAGGTGGTGTCGGAGTTGCAATCGTTGGCACAGGTGACGCTGTGGATGATGTTGGTGTATAAGCAGATTTGAGAAGGTCTATCGCAACCGTGTTTCTATGCTCTCTTTTGCCAAGGACAAAGTATTTTGGGTGTCGTTCAATTACCGTGTAGGGTCCATCGTAAGGCGGTTGTAGTGGTGAATAATGAGCGTTTAAAACCTGCTTTTGTGTTAACGCTATTCGTAAAAAGAAGCGCCGCTATCGCTACCACCACTGCAAGTAAAATGTAGCTCTGCTACCGCTATGCTACTTCAATGAAAAAGTAGCGACAAAATCGCTACTTGTTGTCGAACTATTACATAAAAAGTGTTTCAGAAATATTTTTCTCCTATTACATTTTGATTGAAATTTTCTACTTAATTGCTAGTGCGTTTAAAATTAAATCGATTGTCTAAAATATTTGCAATATCACAATAAAAATTATTTATATTATGATTATTTTGATATTTAAAGTTAAAATAATTTACAGTTGTCAACATTCAAAGCCTTTTTGATCAAATTAGGTGAGCATGAGAATGAGATTAGGTAAAACCTAATTTTATGGAATGGGAATTTTAGGGGATCACTGTTCGTAAATCGGGAATAAAAATGATTCAAGTTTTGAAATAACGCCTCCAACATGCATTTGGAAGAAAAGCTTAGTTCTCGTCTACCTGGATGATGAGGATAAGTTTCTCATCGCTCCATCACTGATCGGCAAAAAAGATGCCAACAATAAATATTGCAACATGCACCTGAGCTATTCGTCTGGTCATTCGACACCTAGTAAACCCAATAGAAAGATAGCATTTGCTTCAAGTTCCAACAAAATCAAGAAAGGACCACAACGGCTAACTATAGCTCAAGGAACCGAAACAACGGAAACTTGACATGGCCTAAAAAGAAATAACCCAAATTTCAAGAGCAAAAACCTGGTGTGGTTATACAACCTATGGCGCAAAAAAGCGATGCCTGGCGAAACTTTCAAGAATTTGGAAATATCATAACATGGTCATTAACAAGATAAATGACGTTGTCTACAGGACCTATGATCGTTGAAGACAACGGCTAAAATGAAAGTCGACCAATAAATTATTTTATTTTATATTTATTATTATATTTTATATTTAAATTTATACCATTATTTTTATTTTATATATTATTTTTACATTTATAATTAAATTTAATTACCAAATTTATCATAATTTTTGATAGTTATGCTGTTTTATTTTTTATTTCATTATCTTGAACTATTTTGATTCTAATTTTAAATTTTTCGGATAATAAAAAGGTTTAAAAAATACCATGGTATTCATCATCATCATCATTGTTGTACATATAATGCCATTCTTGAATGAAGTCGATGTATAGCAATCGACAAAAAAATAATCTGCAAATCGCAGTTTTAATGTTTGGATCGTTGCTTCAGATTATTAATCTAATAAGTTTATCAAACAACAATAACCTCAAATTCTCGTTGAGTTATAACGACATGAATCTTTTTAAGGTTCCAGTGACTCCCTTACAAGTTTGATCGCATGACATTGTTATGGCTTGGTCCTGTTGTCTGGTTTTTTTATTTGCATATACTGTTTTCATCAAATTATAAGCGCTTTTGAGAAAATTAAATAAAAGCTAAATGTTTTAATTTTTGTTCTTGTTAATTTAATTTTCAACATGGTTTACATAATATTTATTTGCACATCACGTTTTTAGTCCTGCATACTTGATGTGTGTAATGATGTGTGTAATGATGTGTGTAATGATGAGCGAATGTGGAATTTATACCTTTAAAACCATGTGAATGAAGTATTTTGAATGCATAAAATGTTTGTGGCCCATTTGTCATAATGTGGTTTTTGATGTGCAATGTTGAGTGTGAAGGTGATTTTTAATTGATTTTTTGAGTGATAGTTGGATGTCTTGGAGGTGACGCATGAGTGTCATATTGCTGCATCATTGCTGTTTTTTGGCCAGAATTACTAACGTTTTGAAAAGTATTTATTTACAATTATATTGAACCCATCAGATTAAAGAAGATTTGGTAGAGCACTTTGATTCCGACGGTACAAACCCTTTGATAAATTTTTCTACTTACACAGCTCTAATGACTTCATGGTTTAATAACTTGAGATGCAAAGATAATAATATAAAGTTTGATTATTACCATTTTTCTTTTTTTTCATAACAATGTAAATGAAAAATTTAAAAATATTCTTTCCATGTTACATACAATTTTTTTAAACTGATACACATTGTTTTGTTGCATCTATTTTTCATATAGTTATTTTTTGGAATGGACATGCTTTCTACATTATCCAAAAATTTATATATTCTGCCTAGCATATGTCAACTCTTTTATTGCTACAGCTCAAATGTTTTAAGTATAATTTACATATTGAATCTCATATAAATTTTTTTGATGAACCGTGATTTATATATATAGAAACATGGGATTCCCAAAATACGATACAGGTGATATTAATATCTTTGAATAGTGATGGCCTGCCATACATTTGTGATACACTCGTACTCATTATTTTTACTGAATATTTGTTAATTTGAAAAACGTCTTGGAATAAAGGTTTTATCTTGATAGGTAGATTTAAGAATAGTTCGATGATTATGTTTACGGTGATGATGGCTATGTGTGATAGTTTTGATTGGCGGTAGCAGTGTAGAGGGGACGTGAATAATATTAGTTTCTATTTTCTGGAATAATCTGAAGTCGAGTTTGTTGAATATATAGATAAGTAGATAGTTGAGGGGAATTTATTTTTTGTTGAGAGATTGTAGTTTTGAAAGTTGATCTAGACGGAGCTGCATACTTGATGTGTGTAATGATGAGTGAATCTGGGTTGTTGAATAATTTATACCTTTGAGCCCTGTGAATGAAATGTTTTGAATGCATATCGTGATGTGGTTTTTTTGAAATGCAATGTTGAGTGGGAACGTGATTTTTAATTTTTTAATTAACTTTTTTGAGTGATAGTTGGGCGTTCTGGATGTAATAACATTATAGTGAGTTCGAATGATAATTGATTGAGGTTAAGTAACAGATTGTATTTTTTTGTTTATGCAGTTAAAAATCAAGTTCTGGTTGGATGATGTTTGATGATAACATGATAAGCATCATTAACATTTCTAATGACTTTTTTAGAGTTAGGGTGAGTAATAAAAGTGGAGGCGTTAATGATGAAAGGTGATGGTCTAAGGGCGGATCCTAGTACTACACCAGAATTAACTGATAAGGTTGTTGATGGTTGTGAACAGAAAAAGTAGAATTACTTCTATTTCAAAAAAAATTTATAATAATATTGCAGATGCAAAATAAAGGAAGAGAAGCTACATTATTTGATAGAGAGAAATGATTCAAAGTGTTGAAAAATTTAGAAACGTCACGATTAGATAAACGTGATAATTATTTTTAAGAATTAATGTTATTGTAGAGGTAAAAGAACATGCCTGGCGAAATGCGTATTGATCTTGTAACTGCTTTAATTGAGGAATGATTAAACCAGATAGCTGAATGACTTTTTCTGGAATACATGAAGGAATGTTTCTAATAACAGTTTCTAATAACAATTTCACCTGTTGTTTCTATTTTCCATTTTTTATTAGATATTTTTTCTTTAATCCGAACTTGGTGGTTTGAGTGCTGCTTCCAGATTGTTTAGTCTTGTTTCTATGTTTAAGCTACTAGTAAATATCGTTCAATACTTGATCTTATTTCATATTTCTTACAAGTTTTCGTTAATCATTTTCGCGTTTACTCTTTATCCATTTTTGGTTTATTTTTTATTCTCATAAAGATCGGATCCTATATCTGCACATGGAAAAGCTCAAAATTAAAAAAAATCAAGTATTGTGAAAGGCAGATTAATGATAAGCCAGCTTTCAAAAACCTACTAGATGAGCTTATTCTGCGCTAAGATAATATTCTAGAAGCTTAAAAACTCACAGGGAACAAGAATTAGAAAAAACTCATTAAATTTATTTTTTTAACTTATGCCAATCCGCCAGACATGTACCCCGCCGCTCCCCTTAGTGAAGTAAGCAAATGCGAACGAGATAACATCAATGCAAAAACTAGATTTAATGAACCGTCAACATATCCATCACATTCGAACGGCTGATGAAATGTTTTTTAATAGTTATCACCTGGAAGATGTCTTTTTCCCCCTTTTATGACATGATTGTTTTTGGCAAGATTTTTAGCTAACAGATTAATGACTTAACGAAATATTTTTACGTGATTTCGAGCGGCAAATCAGAAGCTACATATTAAGAAAGGCAGATAGTCTACAAAAGAGTTAGCTACTTGTGACATGCTGTATTTTTTGATGAATTGAGTACTGATTAAAAAAAAGAAATGACTAAAAGTTTACCAGTTTTAAAAATTATCTAGTTGGTTACGTACTGTTTTTGTAAAGGATTTTGCGAAAATTGCCCAGACCGAGTAAGTATTCAACATTTCAAAAGTAAACTCTGTAGTGTTTTTTTTACTGATATATTAAATCTGAAAAAAATGCCAGTAATCACGGAATTGGAGCAATTTTGTAATAACATGTCGATTGAAAAGAAAATGATTCTGGCGTAAATCCGAATGCAATCATGGCGTAAGTATATCAGCCTAAAGAGAAAATTCAAACGGAACACTCCTGCATAATTGAGGTTATGGAAAATAATGGATTGACACGGTAAAGCTCGTTAATGTAGTTTGTGTATGAAGATTTTGCAATATTTTATAGCATGGGGAAAAAACAGGTAGGCAACTGAATTGGCCTGGCATATCCGACTTTGTTTAGTCATTGGACGCAGTGGGACTGATTACACATAAAAGGTTTGGTGAAACAAAAATGGAACCAACACATTGAATGTCATTTGTAATACTATGGAATAAATCTCTTAAGATTTTCGTAAAAATGCATGATGGACCGTCAAGAGAGTATTTAGTAGTGAACAAAATTTTGGATATTATACGTAGAAGATCATATTGACAAACAGAACTATTAACTGAAATTTTATAGTCTTGATATTTTCTGAAAAGAAATTTTTAATTTTGTAAATAAACATTGTATTATTATTTTCTATTCCAATTTAAACGGCGTGATGGCTTAATGGTTAAGGGCGCCTGGTCTTGCTGTTGCAGTGACTGGGTTCGAATACAAAATGACCCCCGCCTATCACATGCAATGTGTATGATGCGTGGTTTACACGAGTGTTTGTCGTTGATACCTCTTAAGCGAGCGTAAAAGAGAAGATTACCTTTAACGAACCATACTGATATATATTTGCGGGCATAGGGACATTTTGTCTTCGTCCGTGTTTTTTTTCATAATAATAATAATGATATAACAATATGTAATATTTAATTTTTTTTTATCTTACCTACGAGTCTATGGAAACTGCTTTCTTTTTCAGATAATTTTGGCATGTTTCAAAATTATGTTTTTGATTCCATTTCAGAGACAATTTTTCGCAGTTTCTCCATTTATTAATAAATATTGATTTATTACATTAATATTAGGGATAAAGGTGATGATGTCGACACAAAAATATCTTCTAAAAGTAAAATTTAATTCAAAATAGTTTCGCAATTACTTATTTATTTTGATAAAACTGAACTTTGCTATTTTTTGCTAACTCGTAAACAAAAATATTTATTTAAATTTTTAAAGACTTATCACATATTTTTAATGAATATCTCGAAGAAGCAAAAGCTTGCTTCAACAGCAAGTAAAAAGTTTTTCCCGAGTTTTAACAAAATACTACATCACTGCATAGATGTATAAAGTAAATAGAATAGTTTCTTAAAGTTCAAAACTTTATCTAAAATTATTCTCTTTTTTCGTTTTAGCTATTTCTATGCTAGTCTCCAGCACAAATA